AACAACTGTCGTAGATGTTGTAGATGTTCTTCCCTGGTAGCGCTAGCTACTAGTATATCATCGATATATGCGTGAACTCCTGTCAAACCCCTGACGACCTGATCGATGAATCTTTGGAAGGTTTGGGCTGCATTAGTTAATCCGAAGGGCATTCGCAAAAACTCGAATAACCCAAATGGAGTAGTTATAGCCGTTTTAGATATATCTTCTGCCGCTACGGGAATATGGTAATAAGCTCGGACGAGATCGATTTTCGAAAATATCGTGGCACCTTCCATATTGGTAGTAATGTCGTGGATATGTGGTATCGGATATCTGTCTGCTATCGTTTGCTTGTTAAGGGCTCTATAGTCTCCGCATGGCCTGATTTCCCCATTCTTCTTCGAAACCATATGCAATGGGGACGCCCAGGGACTATTAGAAGGTCTTATGATACCAAGCTTCGTCAACTTTTCGAACTCTCGTTTCGCGACATTCAACCTTTTCGGGTCTAGCCTTCGTGGTCTTGATTTAGTCGGTGGACCTTTCGTTATAATATGGTGCTGTACCGTATGTTTAAGATCTCTGTTATCGTATGATACCTTCGTCAGATCGGCATACTCGTTTAGAAGCGATCTATATGGCTCGCTTTTGTCTTTTGACACTACTAAATTCATGGATGTGTGATCAGTCGTCACTCCTCTTATCACTACTGAATGGTCGCCGTTCACGAGCCGGTTTCGTCGGGTATCCACTAGTAAGTCGAAATTCTTTAAGAAATCAATACCAATTATAGGTACGGATACATCTGCGATAATGAATTCCCAGCGGAATGAGGTAGTACGACCAAAATTCAGGGTTACTTTTCGCTTGCCATATGTTTTTATATCGGATTTATTTGCTGCCTTAAGCGTTAGCGCTGTATCGATATTTCGTGTTTCGTTACTTACTGGAGGCACGACGCTTACTTCTGCTCCCGTATCGACTAAGAATTGAGCGCCTGTTACTCTATCCTGCACGTAAAATAAACGACTGTTTCTAGGAGCTGTTGTAGTTGTTGCGGCGGTTATCGACAATCGGTGTGGTCGTTTGAACTTACATGGTGGTCTACAGTTTCGAGCTTTATCGCCGAAAGTTTGGTGGTACCAACATATTGTAGGAGCTGAGCGTCTCCTAGAACGTGATCGACTTCTTTCCCTCAATCTACTTTGTGACCATCCTCTTTGCGTATCGCTCTGACTTAGTTTCGTCAGTTTGTGGCATAAAACATTAATCTCCTTTTGTAATGCATCGATTCGTCCATCTACTGTGGTACCATGCCTTTGCGGACTCGTTTGTTTCATTCTCTCATAAATCCTATCGGCTATTTTAGCAATGTTGTCTATATCGACATCGCTGTCCTCAACCGCAAGGATCTGCTGCACGTTCGCTGGAAGTCGTCGTAACCACAACTGATAAAATATGTTTTTATCTACTTTTCTGTCATCGATTATGCTTCTCATATAGTTTTTTAGTTGAGATGGAGTCCTATCTCCTATCTGCACTTGACTGAGAAGTTGTTCGATGGCTTGCCGGTCGCTTAATGAGACGGCTTTAATCACTGCCTGTTTTAATGCGTCGTATGGCTTTTCTATGTCTGGCTTGATTAAAATCTCTCGTACATTATCTGCTACTTCATCTGGAAGTAGCGAGCTCGCGTGGCCAAATTTATCTCGCTGTGTATGAACACGATTAGCTACAAAGTAATGTTCAAGTCTGATAAACCAAAGTTGAGGATCTGTGACCTTAAAAGGAGGAATAGTTACATTAATGGACCTCACGGACGGCGTTTGGGAAAGTTCTATTGTATCGTTACTTAAAGACATATTTATAAAGATCAAAAATTACACAAATATAATGCGAATGTCACAGAGAAAAGTGAGTCGATAAAAACAATGATAAAAACAAATGGTACAATTTATAACAAAGAACGGACTTACTAAATTGCACCAAAATATCAATTGTTTGTAAAATATCGTTGTTTATTATGAATATTATCGTTATGTTCAATAATGTTTGTGAGATAATGTACGTGTAATTAAAATAATGAGATAATAAATCCACAGTTATAATTATAATCCAAATGATAGTTACAATTGTAATCGAGTACGTTAGATTTTAGGAATTGGGTTATGTCGTTGAAGATTGTTTCGTGTTCGCGCGTCGGGATCGCCAATTATGTGGTGGTCGGTATTCGATATATCCCTTAAACTTCGTATACAATTCGTCTTGATAACCGTCCTATTCAACCCCAACGGTATATTATTCAGAAGGCTAATACGAAGCGTTGATTACGTTTATTTCGAGACCACACACATATATCCAAATGTACAGATGTGTTAAACAAGCATAGGAGAGTTGTGCCGAAAGGCAAGCAAGCGAACGAGAGCCAGAGCAAGAGCGTGACGAGACCGTGCGAGCGAGTGAGCGATTCAGTTCAATATGAATAAAATGGACATATATATACCATGTGAAATGAATGAGTAATCGAATCAAATAAGCGGTTAGTAGTGAGACTAGCAGAGTGAATAAATGCGTAGGCCGTAAGCAATATTCAAGCATGCGTATTTCATACAAGCACAAAATAATAATAAGGGTACAATAAATTGTTATAGTGCGGATGGCTTTGTCCGCTAAATAAGTTAGCAAAAGGGCTTAACTGAGTTAAGTGAGAATAAACCCATTTGCACGTGAGTCGCTATAATAGCTCCCCCCTGCAAACAAAGATATATGGAAAATGTCTGTGTTTGCACACAAAAAAAGTAGACTGAATAGAGTAGTTCCAATTGTTTGAAAAAATTGGCTTATACAAAATTAAGATGAAGTTAGTGTGTGCTGTACATTTGATTTGCGCCCATCCGTGAGGTTACATAAAATAATAGCAAGAAATAGAAGGAATGTGGTATTGCCTTTACATTTTAAACAAAAATTATACGCATAAGTGTAAGGGTACATAAGATACGTTGAGTTTTATAGCGTATAACACGAGCTTAATAATGACCCAAATTCCATGACGTAATAATCGTCGTTTGTGGTCAAACTCAAGGTCACCCGGAGCAAACCGACGATCTTAGATTCAATGATTTATCAGAAAGCCAGAGAAACCCAGTGCTTATAAGAGGGAGGTTTCGCGAAGCCGCGAGAGGCTTTGATCACCATTTTCATGGCGTCATGAAGTTGTAACCAATGCTCACCTATATTTTTCGGTGGGATGCTAGCTAGTCTAGAAGCTGGCTCGTTTTGATTCTTAGTTGCAACAGAAGTTGTAACCAATTTACTGACATCAATACGTTTAGGACCATGAATTTGTTGGCCACTGAAAAGTAAGGTAAGATTGGCGCAGACCAGGGCATGCTCAGAGACCAGATAGGTACTCCAAAAGGAGCAGCAGTCTTGTACACAACCACCCCAGCGGTAGCTGATCGTGATGTGATCAATTTGAGTCCAGGCTTGAGATGCAGAGGGAGGACGCCAGGTGGCACATCGGCGATGACTGTGCCGAAAGTTAGTGCTAGCCAGAAACAGGTTGTGGTCTGTGCACACTTGCAATAGACTGTTCCCGTTATCTGTACTGCGACCAACAAGTCTCCATTGGCCACCTAAACGACTCTCTTCTGTGCCTAGACGCCCGACCTGAGGATTCAAGTCTCCGGCTAGTAATACAATATCTGTCGAACGCACTTTCTTTAGAACACACCACAAAATAATTATAATAATGGCAACAAATGATAATCGAAGATTTAGAAACACTTGAGGATCAAGTGGATAAGATTGAAATGATCTTTTTTGAAAAGGGAAACAATTTTAGCCAAAAGAACAGCTATGGGAGTCAAGTACAGTCACCTGTAATACCAATATGTTCAATTTTACAATTGGTTGATCAGTGTGTAGTGACTAATGTCATGTTACTCGTGTTCTTAACTGATGACTGAATTCCTTTGATTAAGCGGTGATTCGCCATCTAGTCCACATGCTTAGATATCGCATATATACTGTTTTGAAATGTTGGCGATTGAGAATAGTTGGCAGGAAACCATGGGTCTAGGTTTCGTGCTAGTTGACATAAATACCACAGACAGCATAGGTTCACTAAAGATTGCAGGTACACCTTACTGATGAATGCCAACTGGCATGAAGAGAAGGACACGTACTTCTCAACTAATTTCAAACCAATTAACATGTTCACTTTTGTTGGTTTGTATTGTCGAAGAGGGTTTACAATGAGATGATTCGGTCGTTAGAATGTTGATTCAAATTAAGTCACTCAAGAAAGGGGTTGAAAATTTAGCTGTGTTGATTTATAATCTATATGCTTAAAAAATTTCGCATTGGATTAATAGCGTCAATAATAACGATAATAATATTAGCTGTGAAAACCATATGGATATATTGTGTAATGAGGAAAATGTTATCCGGGCAAGTGTGATGAGAAATTCATATGAATTGAAAGATAAACGAGCACATTAAGGATGTAGGCAGAACAGTGAGAAACATGAAAGAGGATTAATGTGTAGAAGCAGATAATATGTGGCTCATGCATGGGATAAATAGCGGGTCATTGCAAAACAAAGAGGATGAATGTCCCTCTTTCAGATACATGAATCCAGCTTTATGGAGTTGATCCCAGGTGCTTAGAATACGTAGAGGAATCTCAACCTCCCCACTTTAAGTAGATGGCTGGGGACTGGATACAAGGTCAAGAAGGTTTTGCCTAATTTAATGTAGCACTCATTCAACTATTTAATATAGGCCGAAACAATAATATATATATATATTATATATATATATATATATATATATATATATATATACAATAAACAGCATATAACATTTGTTTAAAAGAACACATTTCGATCATCAGTATGTCTATGCAAAGAAAAACATAAACGGAACTAATAATTATATTTTGTATTTCTTTAACAAAACCAATTGAATTCCCATTAATCTAAAAGAAGGGAGAGTTTATGTCGAAGTAGAGACAACCGCACAAATTAATCTGTCTTTTGATAACATGATTACAAAAAAGATAAATAAATTTAAAGAGAAAGTAGAGAGAAATAATACAGAACAAGATTACTTACTGTATTTGTTCGTTTAGCATTATTTAACTGTGTTACATAAAAATGAATAAACTCTAGTAGGATAATTTCACTCCAACTACTATTCAACAATTGCATTTTATCTTCAACCTAAAAGTACGGAAGTAAAAAGAAAATTATATAAATCACTTAATTATGAAGTAAAGATTTGTGGATAACACTCAGATTTGAATTACATACTTTCTAGATGGCAATTATTAATACTTCGGACTACTCAAACCAAAAGAGATGAACTGGCATTCGCACGTATGAACTTAATGGTTTGATTTAAATGCTTTAACAACCACTAGCCTATTACCAAAAAAGACTGATAATGGGGCTAGAAAGTAGAGCGCTCACTATGACACTTGTAATTCTTCGAATTCAAATTCACATACGATCACGACTCAATACTTTGCTGGGAAATCCGATATTGAGTGAATCCCAGTAGCTCTAAAGCTACAGTCAATTTGTGATAAGGATTAACTTTCAAAATAGTCCTACTGGGACCAAAAACAGTGACCTATTTTGGGTAGTATTGTTGGTGAAAAAAATTTATAATTAGAGGTTAAAATAAAGAAATTTGACTCATTATTATGTACGTTGAACTATGGTTATAAAACAATCAGTTTCTTCTATCTTATATATACAGTAGATCTGTTCGAGGTAATCCGCATAGGATGCACATATGCAGTCCTAAAAATCAGTGGGAAGAGTCAAACAACAAATACAAAAACCAATCTGTCCATGTGGTTCTGTTTTATGATCATGACACATGATTTATGCGAATGGAAATAGTTGAGGAAGTTCATCACTTATATTGTCAAACAGATGATTGGATAGTATGTAAATAGTGCTTAGCCATTCCACAGTACAATTATGATGGAAAAGGAAGGATCGAATCACCACACCCCACGTCATCATGATTGAGAAAAAAACAACTAAACCCAAACTTACACGGACAACAACTAAAGTCCTTATCTGTTTTCAAAAGGATCATAGGATAGTTATGATAATGTATTTGTAACAATAAATAGAATTTAGACATCAATTTACTGCCTTACTGGTATATTTCTAGTTAACCAATTCACATAAAACTAGTACAACTTTTGACAAACCACAAGAAAACCTAGTGACCCATGAGAGTATGTAATATTAGTTATTTTTCCCCAAACAATGAACAGACTAGTCAAATCTCACGTTGGGCTACATATATAATCCGACATTTCAGTGCATCTGATAGATGTATTGAGTTCTTTGCCCAGATAATGCGATTTTACAAATCAGTACCATCTTATCAACTTAACCTATTCATATGACATGAGTAGAAAAAAAGTCGTTTATTAAGAACAAATTATGTTCAAGTTCAATCAACGTAAACTTTTAGATGATGCTACTCATGAACTGCAGTCTAAAGTTCGATTCTTGCTAAAATCAATTCTGATGATATTGTCAAGATTGATAAATGTAGATTTTACAATTACTTCGTTTAATAAGGCTAATTAGACAAAGTATATTTTATATTTTTCTTGAACATTGAAGTATTTGACAATAAGTAAAAAAAGAAAATTTTTAAATAAGTGTGAAATAAACAAAGAAACTTGAAGATGAAACAATAACAAAAAAGTCACTTCCATATTACTTAAAGCAAAAGATCAAATATAACAATATGTAAGATGCTATTACCACATAAAAAATGTTTAGCAATAAACAAAGATAATAACCTGCAAGTATAAAGTGAAGTAAGGGACTGAATAATTTGCTGAATTAAGTTCTCTCCTCTCAATAAATGCATTATTTATTTATTTATTTGAACACATAAATATTGGTACAAGGGGGCACCAGATATATATGCGTTGGGAATATATTGCATTGGGAAAAATTAGCAATGCATTGTGCATTTATCACATTTATCAATAAGAAATGTTAGACAATTTATACTCTTAAGTTTGTTGTATCTCAAATAATTATACTAATGAGCTTTATTTGAAAACCAATTAATGCTAGCATCTACGTTACTTATATTGTAACCACCACCACTCCCTGTTGCCAATATGCGGATAATTGTAATTGGTAGATAGTTACGAAAATGGAGTAAATATACTGAAAGGACAGAGCAGATTTGGAATTCAAATGATAGGCAGTGTTGCTTTTTCTAAGCTAGATGATTTGATGGTGTGAATTTCACTGTTTTTTCTCTATTTGAAGTGGGGAAGTTGATGAGGTTAGCCAGAATAACAATGTGATTTTCATATAATCAAACCTCATGCAGCACACAGAAAACATAAGGATATAGGCTTGAAGATTAATATTCATTTACAAGTAATGAATCAATGTATTTTCTTCTAGATTGTACTTCATTCTTTATGCCTATTTAATAACTTTTTCTGCATTTAATCCTTTATTATTATCACTATTATTATTAACCATTATTTCCATTTCTTTATTTTTGTTTTATCCCACTGGATTTATCACCACACATATACACCTTTTTAAAGTGGGAAAAATTTCCCGATATGGAAAAAATCGCATAATTGCATAATAACAATACGTTATTGATTGGGTTGTCCATTACTGTTGTCAGATAATAACAAAAAAAATAGTTATTATCATAACATACATAACAATACATTACCCACAGTGTTTGAAAAGCAAGTCGTTTATGTTATTGTTGCGTTATTTTGTTCTTTTCTAAACAGAGGAAGAGATAAATAAACAAATTGTGGAGGAGAGCTACTTTTTATTATGCAAAATAAGAAGCACTGAAGTAGTCATGACAAAATGACAACTAAAACAACAATAGGAACAATAATTATTGTTACAGTGGTATAAGTGGTGGGAGGTGATGGTGAGAAAATGAATTTGTAATTGTACGAGATAATGATAAAAAACAGAATTATCTAAAAGAAAGAAGGTACATGAATGAAACAGTTCAATAAGCTAATGATAGTAATAATATTTTATCAATAGATATTTCTCTCAACACACAAATGTAAGGTAGAAAAAAGCCATAGTGAAAATTAATATATACGTACATTTGTTAAATGAAGATTGAGAAAATTCCATGCAAGAATACAAATGCGAATAAGTATTGCTTTTTCTATGATAAAAATTTTATTGAATGTATCACGTTAGTGAGCAATGCTGGCGATTAAATGTAAAGGTACAATATAATGATGACAGATAATTAATAAGGCTATGTATTTCATTGACCATAATGGCTGGGATATGCATTACGCGTGACCGCAACAACTGTCTACTTTGATGTACAATGTGGGCTGGAGCATGTTGAAAATTGGGAGTAGTTATTCCAAAACTTAGTACGTGTCCAAGAAAGCAGAGGCCGTTAGACTGATTAATCGTGATAAAAGTAGACTTCCTGGTTGAGATTCATATGATAATCGTGAACGATTGCCATAGACCTCAGATGGCATAGCTAAACATAAGTTACAGTGGCGCAGATGTGTTCATTCTTCATTGGTGTCAAAACCTTGAGTTGCGATATTATTTAGTCTTATCAATCCTCGTCGTTAAATAACTAACTTCAAACTACATATTTAGGCTTTTTCTAACGAACAAAAACACTATTAGTATTGCAACCAATTCGTTATTCATCTTGTTAATTTCATTACATCGTGCGGACAGGGTATGGCAGATTGATCAATATGTAGTGCGAACATATATGCCAAGTCCTAGATTGGTTATAAATAACTATGATAATATTATTTACATTTTATTATCCTTATTTTAGTTTTAAAACAAGTTATTTCCTTAACCAGTGATACCCACTCAACCTTTTTCTAATAAAAAATTCGATTTATATAATAGACAGTTACCCACCAGGTATATTGGAAGATGGTTGCACGTAGTATTACAAATTGATTGAAGTTAGGAATGCAACCCATCGAATTCGGAGCTCAGTGGTCTGGCGACCAAAGATCCTTGGTTCGGTTCCTAGTGACGGGGTTGTGTATGCGTACTGCTAAAAAGTCTCAAGCTAGGACGAAACAGCTATCTGATGCTTCTTGGTTCTCAATGATTACTTAACTAAGACCATTTCGTGATGTTAGGTGTAAAAAATATTAGTTGGTAACAATATGGAAAACAAAAAACAAGTAATAGTAATAGGATGGAAAAAACCAACAAAAAACAAAAACAATAACATGAACACAACTCACCGGTAATACTTTAAACGATTCAATTTGAGCCATCCAATCCACCAAATAAAATAAACACGTTTCTAATAATGAACATAAGGAAGACAATAAATCGTCTAAATAGGGATTAATAATTGTAGTACTATTTTCATTTATTTGAGCAGTTGAAGGAGAAGAAGTACCAAGTGTTGGAAAACAATTTGCTTTATTATTTTTAAAGATTGGCACACTGGATTCAGCCGAGTCAAAATGACTAACTGATTTTACCTGAGAATCAATATCATTATTATGCAGCTGTGATTCATGTACAAGTGATGATGGTGACAATGGCAAGATGGGATTTGAAAAATTTCCTACAGACGATTCTCTAAACATTAACACAGGATCCTTATTGATGCGTTCACTGATTATTTCGTTTCGTGATAATGACGTAGAGGAAGAGGATGATAGTATTGAGGTAGTACTGCTATTCGTCAGTTCGAGATTTTCGGATTTTAAAAATGAGCATAATTCAAAGAGACTGCATTTTAATTTCTACATAAAGGAAAAGAAAATATATCTAAACATTTGATTGATACAAGAATTGTAATACACTTTTAAATAGTTTATTACGTTATGGAAATCTTTGCAATTCGGAAGAGAAAATTGAACAAATCCATTTTGAGTAGTAGTTGGGAATGAAAAACAGGTGTATTTTTGTTATTTCGAACTCGTCATTTGGATTTATTTGTGAATTTTAGTATGTTGACTTTTAGTACCTTATGTAATAAGTCTTTGAACGTGTAATTCACAGTACATGTGACGTTTCTATACGAAGAAATGGGGTCACTTAGAATAATCGGAGATTATTTTGATCAGGAGTTAACACTAACAAAACTTCTTAGGTGAGTGAAAACGGCAAGAAAATCAAATCATCTAGTCTTCTCAGTGTTAAATTAGGTTCAAAGAAGTTCTGGAGAAATCATTAGCAATTGGGAGGTGACAAATACACTTTAGCTCAGGAGTTGTGATGGACGATTGTACCATCTTTTTACAAAAGGATTTCGTGTGTCTAATCAGCACAGATTACAACATGTGATCGTAAAACGTTCGTGTACTAAACTATACTCCTTGATCGAATGTTCTATCTTGTAAGAAACTATGTGCATGAGACTGGCATTATCTAGTCAACAATTTCAGTAAATTCTAGGAATACTTGTAAAAAATCACTGAACACTTAATAGACCTTAATGATACAAAAAAACCACACAGTTCTAAAAAGAATTTGTCCAGTAAAAAAATCATGAGTAACTGACTATTCGTACTTTTAATAAATACAAATCATTTGCTAAGACCTAGAGCCTAAAGCAATCCAATAAAAATTAAGACAATTATATTTAAGCAGACTGAATTCAATGGGGTTGGACATATAAATATGAAGAGATATGACCAGTTCACTGGACTATTTTCCCAATAGATGAATGGAATAGTGATACAAATACTGTTGTGATATGAGTTTGAATCTCAGTGGAAGTATCAATCCCCTCGAAAGTGCAGACAAGTCTTGGCGACTAGTTTACGAGTAGTTCCCTTCAATCACCGAACATTAATACTACTTGAAACCATCGAAATCACGAAATGATGTTTAGTAATAATAATAATAATAATAATAATAATAATAATAATAATAATAATAATAATAATAATAATAATAATAATAATAATAATCGAAACTGAAACTTACAGGGATAAATTTTTGAACAACTTCCACAACTTTGTAATCATGTTCTATCGATGTTGTAAATATCTGTCCGAATCTAAAGTCATTTGCATGGGTAGTAGAATTATTTTTAAATAAAATCTCATTATTGTTACCATAGTTAGTAACTTTATTTGCATTATTATCAGTAGTATTAGTGGTAGTAGAAGAAGAAATAGTAGTATTAAGATGAGAAGTAGTAGCACCAGTATGATTTGATTCACTTTCATATTCTGATTTATGGTAAGATGACGTGGAACAAGTAAAACTAGAATGACCAGTACCTTCAGACATCTCAAGGATATCTCTTCCACATGCTCCTCCTATACTAGTAACACCACAACCACCATCACTGAGTTCATCATCTTCTCTATCTTCTTCATCATCAAAATCCCTATCAGGATCATCAATATCATTTTCCGTATCATCATCATCATCATCATACTCGTCCACCTCATCGTAATCAGTATCTTCTTCATCATCAAGAGTACTATCTGTACAATCGTCCCCATCAGTATCATCACCTGTCAGATAATCATCATCTGGAATCTCATCAATGTTACAATCATATTTTTTATTTGTTAATAATTCATTATTGATCAATCTAAAGCTTCCATTGTTCGTATTGCTAGCAGTAGAATAGGTATTATTATTACTGTTGTGATTGTTAGCACTTCTTAAATTATCACCAGTTCTGACACCACCATAATCACCAGATACTTCAGATTCACTTGATCCTCTACCTTCTGATTCACCACGCTCTGTTTTTATTGATTCAGTCTCGATAAAATCTGTGGAATTTGATTGATTGATTGAGGTGGAATTCATCATCATTTGTGTATGTGATGTGGTAGCATTCATCAAATGCTCATTGGTCAATTGGGGATAAGGATGGTTAGGAAGAGAAGGGAGAGAAGGAAGAAGTGAAGGAGGCACAATAAGTGGAGCTTTTATTTGTTGTCGTATGTTTTGATGATACTGGCTATCATGGATAGAAGAGGTTAGTGAATACAAATGATTATTAATACCATTATCATTGAGAAAAGATGAATTGTTTTTATCGAAATTAAAAGGTAAACATGAATTACTAGGGTTACTTGTAGATTTAGTAGTAGTATTGAGCATATTTCCACATAAATTCAAGCTAGATGATTCAGATAAACTACAAACAACTGGACTACAAAAACTAGAATGTGGTTGATTATAAACTAAATGTAATTTAGAATTTTGTTGAGAATTATGACAAAACGGTGGAATAGATTGACTAGGATTATCGGTATGTAACGACAATTGTGAAGCACTATCACTGTTGTTGTTAATGACAGGAGAAGTAGTATTTACAGTTGCAGAACCAGGAGTAGAAACAATAGATGTGTTGCTATTGCAAGAACTATCACCATGACTAGGACTATTATGGACATTTTGTAGTACAAGATTTGAAGGATGCATAACCGATGAGGACGAAGTAGGAAGATTAGAATTTAAATAAACTGACGTCGATCGGGGAGTATCTTTTAATAACGGATGATAATTTGCGTCCATAATTTGAAGATAACTAGAACATTCATTCATTACGGACGAGTCATGTAGTTCCGATGATGTTGGGACAAAAGATGGTTCAGAAGAATTTACAATTCCAAGGCATGATGGATACCAAACACTTGTAGATGATGTTGAAGATACACCTTTTGTTAATGATGGAATCGATATTAATGGAGAAGAGATTTTAACATGTGATTGGATTCGACTATTATTATTGTTATTATTAACTTGATAGTGTGAACATTGATCATAAGAATCATTTAACAGATAAGACGGAAATTGTTGATAATTATTCAGCTCCCTTGTTTCATTACATACACTGATGTCAACATGTGCAGTAGTAGGAGTAATAGTAGTAGTGGTGGTGGTGGTGGAATTAGCAGCAGTCGCGAAAATAGTACTATTTATGTCTGTAAAGCATAAACGTAAACGTTTCGGATCTGAATTTGACAAATCAACAAAATCTGGATTAGAAGAACGCATCCCAGTAGAACATGATAACAATGATGCTGATGAAGATGATAAACTCATTGACTTCAATGTTTCTGTTGTTGTAGTATTCGTGGTAGTGGTGGTAGCAGTGGTAATAGTAGTAGTACCGGGAAGCTGGTAATAAAAAGATATAAGTCCAGTTAGTAATCACACCAAGTAATCCATCAGAAACACAAAAAATGGTGAATTAGAATACAAAGGATAGAAACAATATCCAACGGATTAAACAAATAGACATCGCTGCTATCAAATATCCAAAATATATATGATGAAAACAGACTCAACCATAGGTTTAAAAAAGCCTAATAGCTTTAATAATTATTATTATAGTAATCAACAATATATCACACACATGCACGTATGTGTGCTTACGCATAAATTTATACGACAATAAACACCAATGGTCATCAACGCTGCTGAGCACAATTATTAATTAAAACACAAAACCAATAAGAAAGAGGAATAAAAAGAATCATACAACAGAGAGAAAGAAAATGAACTCAAAATTATTATTTTTTTATGTATACACGACTAAAGGTTCATTTGTTTGCATTCGCTTGATTAGTATTATAACTATTTAGTGGTAGTAAATTTTTAGGACAAACCTGGTAACCTCCTCCTGACTGCCAAACATTCAACACGGTGTCAACGATTACTAGGTTTATATATATATATATATATATATATATATATATATATATATATATATCGGGATTATACCTTAGTAATAATTTGTATATCTACATGATGTTGTTGTTCTATCAACAAAATTTATTCATTGACCTATATAAGACAAACAACAAAATGCTTCTATCTATAAATAACAACCTAACTTATTCGACAGTATTTTCTCCTATTATTATTATTATTATTATTATTTTATTATTATTATTATAGTAGTAGTAGTAGTAGTAGTAGTAGTAGTAGTAGTAGTAGTAGCAGTAAAGGTTTGGGTTTTCCAGTTGTTGGCATTGAAGACTGAATTCGAGTTGGTCTTTATTGGAGTATGGGCTACTATCGAACTCTTCGATATAGTAATCGTAACTATAGGTTTATAATAGTGATTGGCAATGAGATCCAGAATCCACGTTCGATCGTATTTGGGATTCAGTGGCTTAGTGGATAGTGTATTTTGAAGCTTAGAGTGATAGTAACTAGGGGTCAAGTACCAATGTATACATCAACACTGGGATACAAGCACATTCAAATGATAATTTCCTAATAAGATAAAATGGGAGTCTTATATTTCAGTGTTAACCACTATCATCTAACGGTGTAATCAAAGTTTTTTAAACAACAGGATTTTTTTAACCAATAACATAATACTATAGCTTATCACGAAAGGAGCACTTTTATTAAATAATGTCTTCCTTTTAAACTTTTTTAAAAATCGGTATGAGGATAGGATATGTCTGTGAATTTGTGCAATATCTAGTTTTTTTTTGTTCATTCAGTGAGTATACGTAGCATATGAGATCATAATTGTCACTGGAAATTTCATTTGTTTTTTGTTTTTTTCATCCGGTAAGTTGGAATGAGCTACAGTGGCGTGTTTATAGAAGACATATGTGGACAGCTTAAGCTGATTAAAACGAAGTTCATAACAAAAACTACACTGTTATATGAGGCATTGGCACATTAGCTGAACGAAAAATGCTAGATATCGCACTTTTATTGAAGACTGAAAAAGATGGGTTATCTTCACAATGTGATTTTAAGTGTCAATTTTACAGCCGGCAACTCCAAAGGAGAACAGGTAACACAAAACAAAATCAAGAGGTCTAAAAAAATTATGTTCGTTTGACTTTGAAAAGCTGCGATTTCAAAATCAGCAGCAGCGAAGCCTGATGACATTGGAAAATTGTTAAAACATAGAAATGTGATATGATTAACAATATAGTAATGAAAAATGGATTAAAAACTTTGCAAGCCCATAGGAAACAAGTTAAGCAATTACAGGTCTTGAGATAGTGGGAATTCAAGAACAAGTGTGTATAAAGTCACATAAATCTATCAGATTATAAATATTGACTGCGTAAATACCAATACACACAAACACAATATGTAACTTTATGAACTCAAAGAAAAAGCTATTATGACACACTTAGAAAAATAAGAATTATGTGAAAACCGAAAAAAAATCCGGTTGAACTCTATACGACCAGAATGAAAAATCCACATAGATCAGCAATTATCTTAGCAACTTAAGCGACAAGTCATTTCTATCCGACACAATGTTAAAGTCGATTATCTTTCTATTCACTCCAACAGATATCCAAATAATCGACAATTTAGATTAAAAACTATTTTACATAAACAAGTGATACATGTACATATCATAACACCTTTTGATTCATTTCTAAAACAATGGTAATAGTTTTTAGAACTGAATGATAGTGCTACATCTCAAACAGTACAAATGTAATTTTCCAGGTCAAGGACACAATAGACAATTCAATAGTAATGCAACTTACTAATCAAGTATACGTTTACGTACTAGGAGGTTTGAAGTCAAACATTTCTCATAAGGATTAGTGATACTGTAGTTTGCGCTAGTTATGCAGACAGACATAAGTAGTGCGTAGAAGGAATTGGAATGGAATTGCTTGCTTACCAGCAGAAGATTGAAATAAAGAGAATAAAATGGAAATCGGGGAGCAATCGGAATAACAACAGGATTAGAAGAATGACGGAGTATATAAATGACAACTTAAGGAAGATGTACAGATGATGTACTTAATGCACAATTTTCAGATTTTACAAATCCACTGTGTGGTTTTGCATAAAACAATAAATTGGTTTACCGTACCTGAGTTTTCGTTCGCTACAATACTAGTCACCTCTGTTCAGATCGAAATAAGTAAGTCACTGTTCGAATCAATAGTCAAAAGCTGAATGCTGTAGCTACTAACTTATCATTCAAATGGTAAGTAGATATTATCCTACTACATAGTTATATGAAGATAGTACGTGAATGATAGCATCATGATTTCTTATATCAGTTCTATTAATGAATTTAGTTAAAATGAAACTATATACACTTGGTAATTTTATGTTTATTCAGAAAAATAACAATGAGAAATGTAGACATCTTGAGAAAATACAAAAATGGAACCATCGAAAAATGACTATTATATTGAATACAGTTGAGTTTCACGTAAAACGATTGGCTACCATAAATACTGATTAACTAATTTTATGGTCATAGTAAACGCCATAAAAATAAATTTCCATTACCAGAAAGAAGATATCAAGAGGATGCACGGCACTGAATCCAAATGTGAAAATAAAGCTTTCTGTGTTAAATGAAATACATTGTATTTCTTAAATGATAGTCGTATGTGAAAAATTAATCTAATATTTGTTATTATTCCTAGTATTTTCACTTGGATTGTTCAGTTCAATCAACAAATATGTTACTAAAATGATCAAATGATACATCAACTATGTCTTATTATCAATAAACAGATATACTTTTATAGATAATGCAAGACTGAATACATATATTCTTACTACTCCATCTAATTATTATTCATAGACAATACTGTATCGAAATTAAAGAATATAAAATAAATAGAGCAAATGAATAGATAATTTCAACACTATAATATGAACAAGACATTCTTGTTTCTAAAATAAGAGTTCTATTGCGGAATAAAGTTATAAATTAAAGATCAAAAATTATTGTTTGTTCCATAAGCTTATACAAGCAATATTATTGATAGTAATCCATTGAATGTACGCATCCAAAAGTTTTTGCAAGCATATGTATGAGCGTGTAGAAAGATGTGGATGGATGAGTTTGTGTACAAAAACCTTAGAAGATCAATAGAATACGTAGGAAAAAATGCAATGTCTACATACTTAAACATGAACTGAGGTGAACTGAACAGAACTAAACTGATCTGGTCGAATATTATGCAAAATATAGATCAATCAGGCAAAACATTTGATATATGTGCACAGGATGAGAGCGAGAGAGGAAAAACAATGAACTGAAGTATATATATATATATATAAAAATATATATGTCCTCATGAGGTCATACATATTACACAAAAATGCATATTTATTTATACGATAATGGCAACACATAAACACCGATAAATAAATACATTAAATATAATATAATACGGTGCAGTACAGTTTGTTTTATGCTACATACTATGTTACATGAAGTGTAATTTATTAGATTTATATATATATATATATATATATATATATATATATATATATATATATATATAGTTAACAGAATAAATGGAGCGATTGGAGCGCACAGTTACTTCACTTTTTATTACTGAGCTGTGTATATGTACGAACTACTCTGTAAAGAAAGATTTCGCACTTAAAAGTGTACAAACAACCTAAAAGCCGTACTATTTGTTAATCTGTTTGGTGTAATTAGGAAGTGCTCCTTTCACCATTCCAGTGTACGACGGTATATGTTGATAGAGTGATATTACAACATTCTAGGCCAAAAACTTAGTCAAAGTAATGAGATTATTACTTAGTGAACAGTATGCCTTATAGAGATTGGAGTAAGAACTTCCATATGATGCTCCAGCTCATCTAAAACATCAGAACCAGGAAGCCTGAAGAGTCACGTGAACGATCTGCGGCCATGGATAATAGAATGTCTTCATTTTACGTACACCAGGTCAAAGAACATCACAGAAAGTGAAGCATACAAAATAATCGTTGAATTACGAAATATCCCAGCTGGCCATGATACGTTCTATTCTCGCTTCGATTTACAATCAGAAAATTCACATTTATTATTATTTATTTATTTATAACAATCTACCCAATGCTCAATTTATTCGAAATTATCAAATCAAACCTTGGTAATGATACATACAAACCTATTATTATTATTATTATTATTATTATTATTATTATTATTATTATTTACTACGTCATTGATTCACTCTCTTTTATTCCCACTTCGTGTATCCTTATTTTCCGAATTATACAGCGGCTCGTCTTTGGTGGAAATTCGTTCTCGAGTCACTGTCCGGTTGAAAATAGTATGTTAC